GGCCCTGTTGTCAGCGTACAGAACCGGGGCAGAGCTAGGCCGCTCACCTAAGTCGGCAAGCAAGAAGGTCAGCCAGCGGAGCTCCTGTGCCGCCATGGCACCAGTGTAGATTTCAGCCTCGCAGCTAGACTGAGCAACAGACGAGGAGCGAGTGGACCTCCACGAGATGGCACCAGAACCAAGGCTGAAGCAATAGCACTGGGAGGACCTGAGTGTCTCAGCGTCGTCTGCCTAAGAAGCGTCCGTGTGCGTAGTAAGGACCACTGGCCTGCGTCCTCCCAGCACTAGCCCCATGCCCGATGTACTTGCAAGATAACGCAAAACCATCTTAGCAGCTGACCAGTGCTGTGGTCGGTGTCTGCCTGTGGCCACGAAGCGGGCCAGGATGCTGAGAGGGTATGCGAGATCTGGGCGAGTGCAAGTCATCAGGTACATGAGGCAACCCACCAGCTCTGCGTAAGGACCACTGGGCTCTACTGATTCCTCGGGAACTAGAGCTGAGAGCCTGTGGTCTACCGACAAAGGTGTGGGCTGTGTGGAGGAGAGCTGAAGACCGAACCTCTGAAGGACCTGGCGCACTAAGTGTGACTGTGTAAAAGTGATGGTGCGCGTTGCTCTGTCCCTGGAGATCTGCAGGCCAAGGTGGCGGCGCAGCTCTTCCAGGTCAGTGCAGGTGTGTCTCAGCAGTTCAGCCTTCACGGAGGCCAGCGCGTCTCTGTCTGCTGTAGCAAAGACCAGGTTTTATACATAGACAAGGATGTAGAACGGAGTCTGGCTAGCACGAACGAAGAGCGAAGGGTTAGCAGAGGACGGAAAGAATTGCAGGTCAGCAAGCGTGGCACACAGCGTGTCGTGCCACTCACGGGAAGCCTGTCGCAATCCGTAGACGGGGCGCCGGAGGAGCCACTGGGTCCCAGAAGGGAAAGTACCGGTGAAGCCTCGAGGGCGGCGCAGGTAGACCTGCTCGTGTAGGCTGCCCTGAAAGAAACCAGTGGAGAAGACGAGGGAGTGAAGGTCTTTGTCACGTTGTGCTGCTACGTGTAGCAGCGCCCGAAGAGTAGTCATCTTCCGGGTCGGGGCGAAGGTCTGAAAGAAGGCCACCCCCCTCTCGCTGACTGAAACCTCTAGCCACGTAGCGCGTATTGAGCAAAGGCGGCTCTCCAAGGGGGCGCTTCACCTTGAAGAGCCAGCGGCCATCGACTACGTTCACCCCAGGTGGGGGAACTGCGTCGACGTAGGTGCCGGTAGCCCTCCAAGATGCCATCTCCTGCTCCATGGCAGCTATCCACTGAGAGGCCCAGGGTCCTGTCGTGGCCTCAGCGTAGGTGCGAGGGGTCGGGATGTCAAAGGCGTCGGGGTCACCCTCAGGGACTAACAGCATGGAACAGAGATGGGGAGCACCCTCAGACAGGAAAGCAAGCTCGTACTGTCCGTCCTCTAGGACGTCACTGCCAAGGGCAGAAGCACCCCCGACGGACGGAGGGCAGACCGGGTCAGAGACGAGAGTAGTGGCTTAGTCAAGGCGGCGGGTAGAGGCGAAGTCAACGACAGCAGCGACAAGAGCGTCCAGACCGGAGACAGGAACAGACGAGTCGGTAACAAGGGAGGCAAGGACCCGGGGAACAAGAGGACGAGCGGCACGAAGGTAGTCACACAGAGGGGGAGGCGCGACAGTGGGTGACGACGGAGGAGGCGAAGGCAGGAGGGAAGGACGAGACACGTGGGAAGCAATATAGGGTGGGAACGCTGAACAGGAGAGACAGGACGAGCACGAGAGGGACGGCGAGACAAGACGTGAGACGGGGGCGTCGGGTCAGGAGACAGATGAGGAGTAACTGGAGGGGAACGAGAGGGGAAACGAGCCGGGGACGAGTCCGGCGGAGGAAACATAGGACTGTGAGCAGGAAGAGGGGGAGACGGCGAGGGAGGCGCAGGCGAGCGGTCAAGGGAGGGAAGGCAGAGCAAGCGAAGGGCGAACACCGGCGGCGACTGTTGCTGCTGCTGTTCAACGCCGACACCTGGACCACCAGCTGCACCACTGTTACCTCCGGTACACTCCACGCCAGCACCCCTAGAACGAGAAACGTCTCTAGCACCGGTGCCACCCCCGAGCCTGCCGGGACAAGCCACGACAGGAGCCCCAGGACTAGCACCCTCTCCAACTCCAGCACCCTCACAGTCCACGAACGGCTGCGGCTGCAGCGACGGCTGCGGCTGTGGCGGCGGTGACGGCGGCAGCGGCTGCGGCGACTGCGACGAGGGAGGAGGAGACACCGGGGGAGGGACAGGCGGCGCAAAATGCGCCGCGGGGCCACCAGAGTTAGCCGACTTCTCGACCGGGACAACCGACGGGAGAGGAGTGACGTGAGTCACACCAGACGGAGCAGGACGGGAAGGGAGGGGAGCAGGGGCGACCGGGGGAGTGGGAACCAGAAACAGGGGGGGGGGAAACCGGGAGACCTCGGTGAGGAAAGCGGTGGAAAGAAGAGACTGACTCGTCGAAAGTGACGTCACGTGAGTGAAGGAAGCAGTGAGACTGCGGGTGGTAGAAGTGCTAGTCAGATGAGTCAATGGGGAAACCGAAGAAGACACAGCGGACGGTGCGGGCAGTGAGCTTGTCCGTGCCTAAGGCACGAACGTGAGCGAGGCAGCCCCAGACGTGGAACGCAGACGCGTCACCAGGGAACCCGGTCCAAAAAGGGTCGGCAAAATTTGCGGCCGCTGAGAGCGAGGCCAGAGGTCAAGCTGGTGAGCGGCGTAGCGAACGGCGAACGACCACAGAAAATGGGGTGCACCGGCATGGATCATGGAGGTACGAGCCACCTCCATGACCAAACCAATGCGTCACTCAGCGACCCCATTATGCTGCGGGGAGTCCGGAAGGGTGTACGTCTGGGTGATACCTCCGCACGACAGAACTGACCCTGCCGACCAGAGGCGAACTCGCCACCACGGTCGGATTGGAGACACAGCACAGGGAGACCGTGGTGGAGGCGCGCAGCGACTAGCCACGGGATAAGAACGTCAGGCACGTCGGCCTTCCGCTCCAACGGAAACACCGTGGTGTAGCGTGTGAAGTCGTCAACGAGCACAAGAAAGTAGCGCTCGCGACGCGGTCCAGGGACAGGGGCTGGGCCCCAGACGTCCAGGTGTAGGGTCTGAAGTGGTGCAGTGGCAGGGCGAAGTGAGGAGGAGTGAGAAGCACGGCGCAGCCGGCCCTCGACGTAGGGCGTGCACGGCGGCGTAGTGTAACGTGATCCTTGAGCTGTGCGGCTCGGCAACAGATGGAGACGACCAGGGGGTCGTTCACTGGTAATTTTGACGGGAAGGGGAAGGGGCACGAAGAGTAGCACGCGCGATAGTCTCCTGGGCGAACAGAAGTTACGTGGCCGAACCTATTCGATAATTTTATTTGTGCCTGAGTGGACCCGAAGTCAAGACAGTCTAGTTAAATGATGGCAGTGGTCAAGCTTGCAGAAACGAGTAAAACAAAATTGCCTACGATGTGCAGTGATACCTTTCAGATGTGGGAACCTTCAACGAAAAAAATCCCCGACCATTCAAATTCGATTTGGCCAATTGAACGCGAGTGCACTGGCCAGCTCTGCGCGCCATGCCGAAGCCCCTTCGCTCAATACCACGACCTTGGTGGTATGAGTTGTGTGGGGGGTATGGCACTAAGTTTGCCCCTGAGCTCTGGGCGACGGATTTTGTGCGTTTTTTTGGGGAATTGGAAGAGGCACGCGACTTGGGAGTTCTAGGTTTGGAAATCGCCAACTAAACCAAAACCATCGCACGATGGCATCATTCGTTGCACTAAACTTTCGGCGACCCAACGAACCCTCGTTTTATGTTCTGCATGCCAGCCCTTCCTCGCCGTGCCACTGTAAAATTGGCCGGCGAACGGCCCCAGGGAGTAATCTTGAATACCAGGAGACTCAACAGGGTTTGCTGAATAGCGTGACGGGCTAATTGTCCTGATGTAGTGAGCTCTGTTTGTACCATTACTGTAGAGGGCTGTTTGGCTGCCAATTACCGCGAAGGTACATTCATCTCTAACCGTCATCACCAGCCAAAACTGCTGAACCACGCGCGTTAAATGCGCAGCGAGGTGGTTTTAAACGACAAAACAGAAAGCCGTTGATTCAAGTTGTCTTTCTTCCACTCGCTCATAAATCGCCGGTAAGCACTCATAAAAGCCCTATCTGGCAAATCTGTTGTCAGGTTCAGCGATGGGTATTGGTTTTCTCTGAAAAATGGCAAAATCTCCAGCATCTGCTTATTGTTATGTGATTCAATGACCTGTCAAAGGCCTTTTCCGGTTTTTCTTTTCAATGTTCTCCTCGAAAACTGTATAAAAGGTTGAAAATTTGCTTCCGCAGCAGCTGCGAACCATCTACAGAACGCCTCTTGTAGGATTCACTGGAGCCTGTGGTGTTGGAGAGCAGTGATACAACGAACTGCTGATGGCACGCTTTCACCGCGTACCAATGTCTTGGCTCTGGTTGGACGCTCGCCACAAATGACACCACATTAGCAGCTGTGCTTCCAGAGAATGATTCGACCTGCTTCGCGCTGCACCACAAATGTAGTTCGCATTAAAAACATTCCTGCACCAATGATGGTACCAAGTTCTCGACCAACTGTTTTCGTCAAATGCTATCGTTTGCTTGATATTTTATAGGCCTTGCCATGTCATGCTGCCTTCAGGGACCACAAAATACTGGCGGGAACTCGCTGATTCACACGTTGTGTGTGGTGCCAACTGGATTTAGATATCGTTGGGATAAACCACGGCGTCCTGCTGGCGCGATTTGTGGCACCGAGGTGCAAAGGATATGCACCGGGCGATGCGATTTACCTTCTATTCTGTCGCCATGCGCAGTTTGTCCCGGCGTGCCCCTTTGTCCCCCTCGTCTGTTCCCCCGCTCCTCTGTCCCTCTCCCCTTAGCCTCTCCCTACAAAGCCAACGACCCACCATTGTTCTCTATCCAGTTCCTCCCAAGCTCTCAGCTCCAACAACTCACCATTACAGTATCGTGCTAGGCTTCTTCGACATCCGATTGCTCGTCCAGTTCTCCTGAGCTCCCTTCTCAGCTCTCTCTAGAACACAACGCGAACCCTTGCTTTCAAAAGATGGCGACTCCTTCCGTAGCGCCGTTGAGCTCGAAGGTCATCCGCAGCCGCGTCGACGACGTGGAGATCCGCGCGCTGGAGGGCAAGCTCGAGCTGCTCAACATCCAGCGCCAGCTCAGCGCCGTGCGCTGCGAGAACTTCATCCACATGCTGCAGTCGTCGCTGCAGCACGCCGGCGACGATGACGACGACCTCGCTCTCGACCTCGGCGACTTGCCCGTCCGCCGCTCAACCATCCCATCGCGCCGCTCCTTCGAGGTTTCGGCTCGCCACTCGCACCTGTCGGAGGACTTCGCGTACCTCGACGGCGCATCCGATCTCTCCCGCTCGCGCTCTAACCCCTCCGCGTCGACCCCCCTCACGCGCTCGCTGGGCTCCCGCTCGGCGCGCTCCAGCACGTCTTCCCCCGGCGGGCTCACCACGCGCTCGCTGCGGCGCCACGCCAGTCTCAACGCGCGCCGCAACAACATCTTCCGATGAGGGCTGCCGCTCCACCACGCGCCTTCCAGATCTCTCACATCGCGACGACGCATCCGCCTCAACCCTCAGCCCTCAGCCTTTGGCCCTGAGCCCTCAGCCCTGAGCCCTGAGCCCTGAGCCCTGAGCCCTGAGCCTTTGGCCCTGAGCCCGCCTGCGTGGTCGCGCGGTCCCGTCCACCACGCGCCTGAACCCCCCCCGAGCCCAATGACGGCAAAATCTGGCGCTCCTAGCGCTCTTCTCGCGGCTCGACCTCGCGACTTCGTCTCCACAGCACGGACAGTGGCAGGTCGACGACAGGCCTCACTCGCCGAGCCAAGACGAGCAGATAACAAACGCCGCTCGCGGCGGAGGCTCGCCGTGAATCACGCCAGCGGCGACGACTGGTCGCCCTGTATGAGCCCCTCGAGATAACCGTTTTATGCGGAGATAAGTGATTAGTCTGCGGCCGCAGACCAAATGCGTTGCTGCGCATGTGCAATCTTGTAAATGCCTTCAAATGAATTAAGGCTTCGAATTCATTACCCGATGTATAAATTCAGGCTAACAGCATGCTGACCAATGGCTAAAAGCATGCACTCCATGGCTAAAAGCATGCTGACGCCATGGCTAAAAGCATACTGATGCCATGGCTAAAAGCATGCTGACGCCATGGCAAAACTGATTCTTGGCGTGGGATGGGATGCTTCGTGTTCCTCATGCTGCCAGAAGCTTCCTCCATGTGCGCCAAGGCGATGCTTCGTCGCTGTGTGCAGTGCCTCCAGGGGGAAAATTGCTGCCGCGGACTGTCCACGAAACTTTTCATACTTTCGTGGACAGGCCCTACTTTCATGGACACCACATCAAACTTTCACATCTCCCGTGGACTCCGTCAATACTTTCGTGGACTCCAGGCTTACTTCCATGGACACACGCGAGTTTGAAACAAAAAAAATATACAGAACTGTACAGATGCTGACAGGAGAAAAAAAGCAATATTAGGCGTAATCAAGTCCCTCGCAAATAGTCGCAAGCTACAGTATTTTCAAGCCACCAAGTCCGCTAGCTGTTTCGCGTGTTTAAAGAAACTCTGAAGCGATCCTCAAAATTCATTTGAATGACTGTCACGAAGCGCTTTTAGTTGAACGATAAGTGTAGCAGACCGACCTGGTGAAATATCGCTACAATAAAATCACGTTGTAGAATAAAGATAGATATTACGCTTACAAGATTAATAGAGCTCATTAAAAATCTCTGCCTACCAAGAATCAGGAATACCATGAATTCTGGCATTTACAAATATTTCAACTAGTATTTGGCTTGCATTTTCAACTAAGATGTGAAATCTCAGAATACCAATAACGTTTGGTGAACATGACTATATAAATGGAAGGTTTCACGTCTTGATTGTATTATTATTAAACTTTCGGTATATAGTAAAATAATAATAGATGAGAAAATGATACAACTATTTTAGATTCACGTTTTTGGGAATATGTTTTTTATTTTTGAACGAGAAACATACTAATGCAAATTAAAACAAGTGATTCTAAAAATTATATTTCTTAGGTGTTTTTTTTCACAGAATTACTAATAATGAAATTATTTATTATGAAGGAGAAAACAACTGCTGGTTGATGCTGGCTCGTCAAGCACGTGCATATTATGTTTTGTTGGGTAGCTCTGAGCTGAATAATAAGTGTTTTTACCACGCGGACCCTAATACACCCTGTTTTCGAAAATTCACTGCATATTTGAGTGCGGCTGCAAACTCTTCCCAGAAAAGCTCCGAGATTCTGTTTCAGAACTGGTTTCCGACACTGTAGCTCGCGATTACTTGCGACGGACAGATATTCTGGAGTATCTCGATTTTTGTGCCCGTAATCACTTGTACATTGCTGAGTACTCCTTTTTAACTGCGAATATGGGTGTGTCCATGGAAGTAAGCCGGGAGTCCACGAAAGTATTGACGGAGTCCACAGGAGAAGCAAAACTTTGATGTGGTGTCCATGAAAGTAGGGCTTGTCCACGAAAGTATGAAAAGTTTCGTGGACAGTCCGCGGCAGAAATTTTCCCGCCTCCAGGGCTTGGGGCTGTCACCCCCTCCTGACAAAGCTGCTGTGCAGCGCAGCCACGTGGTGACCCCCCCCACTCCAAGCTCCACTCACTCAAGATTGCATGCATTAGTCAATGGCACAAGGAAATCCCCAGCAAAATAAGAGCTGAACCTCTCAGTGTTGCGAATCTCTAAGCCCATGGCCTCACTCCGGCAGCATGCCTTCAAACTGCTCTGTGAAATCGTAGTCACTGCCCTCGCTGCCCTCCGCCTCCTCACCCTCCACTCCCCCACCCGCCGCGTCCCCACCCTTCCCCTTCGCCCCTGTGCTCCATGCACAGCCCTCCTTCCCCCCCTCCCCCCCCGCCAGCTGCTGCTGCTTCTTGCGCCTCTTCTTGTCGGCGCGCCGTGCGTGCGGGTTGAGGATGCCCGCCGCCTCGTACAGCACCTCGTTCTGCCGCAGATACTCCCTCCCCCTCATCACACCCGCCCGCTCTGCCGCCGCCACGGCATCCACGTCGTCCACGTGCATGCCCCCCTCTGCCCCGGCATCCTCCTCTTCGACCTGCGGCACACAGCAACACGGGAAGGGGTGCATTCGACAAGGAATCGGCCGAAAGACGAATGAAAGAGCGAGAAAACAAAACACGAAAATAACAAGATAAGACGAGACAGGAGGACAGCACTATGTGGGTGAGGCGGTGTAGCATTCCCATGAGCGTCAGCATCACCATGATCCCCATACCTCGTCCGTGGCCATCATCATGGCCGGCGCACTGCACGGCAGCACTGCATGGGCCGCAGCAGCCCCAGCAGCAGGCGCAAGGGCAGTCCCCGCGTTGCTGTGCATGGCGTGTCGCTCCCGTTCGAACACCTCCTGCACGCCGAACTCACTCCCCCACACGCCCACCAGCGCCGCCCCCTCCTCGTGCTCCTCCGCGCCCGCCACCGCCTCCGATGCGGGGGACGGGGGCAGCGTGTAGTAGGGGATGCGCCCTGGGGGGGAGGGGAGAGGGGTGCGTGCGCGCAGAGACGAGGGTGAGACATTTGAGGGGAGAATACATTTGAGAGTAGGATGAGGTATGCGAGGGAGAGGTGGCTGGAAAAGCATTGGAGCAGCAAGGCAGCACGGCACCCCACCCATCCCAGCATCTCCGCTCCCCTCCCCGCCCCCCCCCCTTCCTCCACCCTAAGCGCACCTTCATTCCACTCCCTTAGCACGATGCGAGCCGCAGCAAGGGTGTCCGGCACGCCGCCCTTCTTCAGCCGCCCGCGCTTCTGCGCTACCTGCCGAAGAAAGCTGTCCACAGGCCCCCCAGCTGCCCCCTCCCCCTGCGGCTTGTCGATGCCGTAGACAGCTGCCAGGTGCGCGGGCGAGCACAGCTGCATGATGCGCTCCACTGGGGGGCGGGCGGGGGGGGGAGAGAGGGGGGAGGGGATAGGGGCGTGTGAGGGGAAATGGCGGATGCTGGCAGGGGCAGGGCTGGAGTGGCAGGGCGGACCAATCACATGAGATAGCAAGAGGAGGCAAAGGAGGTGGCAGCACGGCCGGGGGCACGGTGTGCAATGGTACCCGGTGCAAAGGGGTCCAGCAGCGCCTCGGGCCGCAGGGCGTTCCTCAGTGCAGCGGCCGCCTCGTCCGCCTTGCCGCCGTCCCCCCCGCCCCCCGCGAGCACAACTCCCGGCGAGTCGATGAGGCGCACGAGGCGGTCCAGCTGCACCTCCTGCAGCGCGCGCGTCACGCCTGCTGTGGCGCCCGCCTTGGCCACGCGCGCACGCTTGAGGCTGTTGATCACGCTGCTCTTGCCCACGTTGGGCAGCCCCACCACGCCCACGCGGATCGCCGTCTTGATCTGCAATGGCGGGGGAGGGGGGGAGAGAGGAGAAGGGTGGAGGCGAGCAGGAGGGGGGAGCGGTGTGAAGCACGCAGAAAGGGCTTTCGCACCCACTCGTTGACTAGAGCAATCCCTACTACACCCCATGCACCCCATGCACCCCATGCACCCCATGCACCCCATGCACCCCATGCACCCCATGCACCCCATGCACCCCATGCACCCCATGCACCCCATGCACCCCATGCACCCCATGCACCCCATGCACCCCCTGCATCCCATGCACCCCGTGCATCCCATGCACCCCGTGCATCCCATGCACCCCATGCACCCCATGCACCCCATGCACCCCATGCACCCCATGCACCCCATGCACCCCATGCACCCCGTGCTCACATCCCTGTTGCGGCACCACCCTCCTGCCTCCCAGGCGCCCTGAGAACTCACGTCTTTATTCCGGCAGTAGTTCTTGAGCAGCTGGATCAGCGTGTCCGCGCCGAAGCACTCGCTGCCCTCCGCGCCCACCTCGCCGCCCTCCTCCCCTGCAGCAGCCGGCAGTAGCGACTGCGGACCGGCAGCAGCGCGGTTGGGGTCGGCTTGTTTGCGCTGCGAGCGGGCGAGGTGGCTGCGCTGCGCCTGCGTGGACGCCTTGAAGGCCACGGCGGGCAGCTCGCGGCGGAAGTACGTCAGCCACCGCTGCACCACGTCCTTGGGCACCAGATCTGGGGGGGGGTGGGCGGGGGGGAGAGGTGCAGGGGTGTAGCGCGTGGGGAGTAGCGCGTGGGGGGTGGCGTGTGGGGGGTGGCGTGTGGGGGGTGGCGTGTGGGGGGTGGCGTGTGGGGGGCAGGACACAAAGGCTGCTTGGGCGGCCAGGGGTGGCAGGTTCCGGCATGAGCAGGTGTGGTGGGGCCGAGTGTGGCGTGCGTGGGTGGTGCCGTGGCGTCATAAGGGCTCATTCTGGGGCCAGCTCTTGACGCGTGTGTGTGGGTTGAAGAGGTGGGGTGGGGTGGGGGGGGGGCATTGTGTGTGTGTGCGTTGAAGAGGTAGGGGGGGGGCATTGTGCGTGTGTGTGTAATCAGGGTTTTGGTTCAGAATGAGAGAGTAGGCAGTGGGTAGGGAAGGAAGGACGAGGGGAGAGACTGTGAGAGAGAGAGAGTGAGAAAGTGAGTTGGGGAGAAAGAGAGGGCGAAGTAAGAGACCAGCCGGAGCGTCGGGCTCACTGATCTTGTTGAGCAGCAGCACGACTCACCGATCTTGTTGAGCAGCAGCACGACTCACCGATCTTGTTGAGCAGCAGCACGACGCGCTTGTGCGCGCCACTGCGCGCCACCATGTCCTCCACCTGCCTGCACCGCCCGCCCATGGGGTCCCTCGCGTCCAGCACCAGCAGCACCACGTCGCTCGCCTCCACCACCGCGCGCAGCTCGCGCATGAACGCGCGCGGAGGGGCGCCTGCGGGCGGGGGGGTTGGGGGCGAGGGGGTAGTAAGGGGGTGAATGGGGGGACAGGCGGGGGGGGAAGCGCAGGGGCGGCAGCACGAGCAGCAGCACGTCGGTCGCCTGCACACCAGCCGCAGCTCGCGCATGGAGGGCCGTTGGCCGCTGCTGTGGTGGTCGTTGGAGGGCTGGAAGGGGGGGAGGAGGGGCAGGAGAGAACGAGGGGCAGAAACGCAAGTTGAGTGGGTGGGCGCAAGGAGGGAGAACGCGGGGCGGAAGGGGATGCAAGGAGGGTCAACGCAGCCATGTGCCGCTCGCATTGCCTGTCTCCTTCGGGCTTGGGGTTTCGGGTTAAGGTGTCAACCCCCTGCAGCCCACCCCCTTGCAGCCCACCCCCTTGCAGCCCACCCCCTTGCAGCCCACCCCCTTGCAGCCCACCCCCTTGCAGCCCACCCCCTTGCAGCCCACGCACCTTTCCCTTTGCCCGCTTGACCATCCGCCTCCTCGTCCCGCTCTCTCTTCCGCTTCTCGTACTCCGCGCCCCGCTCCATCGCCCCCTGCACCATCCCCGCCATCGCCGCTCCGCTCGTCACACGCCTCTCCCCCTCCCCCTCCCCCTTCATCTCCGCGTCCCCGTCATCCTCCGCGCCTTCCGCGCCTGGCAGCGGCCCCTCCTCCGGCAGCCCCGCGCGGCGGCGCCTGGCCTGATGGGCGGAGAATGGCGGAAGTGGGGAGTGGCAGAGGTTTAGGGTTTTATAACAGACATTAGCCGTGGGAGGGATGACGGGCAGAAGGGCAGCACGGGGTGCGCGGCGCCGGGGAGAACTTGAGTTTCGAGCGAATCCACTTGAAACCTCACTCGCACTGCCCCCTCGCTTCCTTCCTTCCCCCCTCCCGCCACCCCTCTCCCCCCCCCCGCGCACCCGCTCCTTCTTCTCAGCCTTCTTCGCTTCGCGCTCCTCCAGCCCGCGCTGCCGCCGCGCCTCCAGCGCCGCCAGCTCCTCTTCGCGGAACGGCCAGTCGTTAGGGATGCCCGGGTCCTTCTCCACGCGCCGCCGCGGCGCGGTGCCGTCGCGCCTGGCCTTCTTGGCGTCCTTGAGCTTCTTCTTGGCGTGCTCCTTGACCTTGCGGATCACCTTGTACTTTTGCCGCAGCGTCACGCGCTTGCTCTTGCTCTCTGCCAGCCCGGGGGGTGGGGGGGGAAGGGAGGCGGAAAGAAAAGGCGCGGGGAGGAGAGGACGGAATGGTCGGCGTGAGGCTAGGTGCAGGAGAAAAAAAGAAGTCAGCTGAAACCACACGCCGTGCGATTATCGTCTTAAGCTGCTTAATCTGCCCATGCCCATGCCCCATGCCCCATGCCCCATGCCTCGACGCCGCTAATTTACAAACGGCTGCGATCAACTCACTCTTGCTTCGCTTCACCATCCTCGCTGCTGGTTGGCCCACACGAGGCGCCCTGCGGTCGTTAGGCTATGAAAACACTCGGCGCTGGCAGCGGTGCGCGGGGAGAGCCGCGGAGGGAAGAGGCGAAAGGAGCGGGCGAGCGATGGCGGTGGCGTGGCGTGGTGCGACGAGGGATGATGGGAAGGAGAGCAAGATTCAGGCGGGCGGGATCTTGGTGCGGAAAGGGTTTTATCAGGGGTCGGGGTTTGCTTTGCCCAACCCCTCGCGAAAATGATGAATTTGTAACGAAGTTCGCGATTAGCGAAAATCCCCACGATATTTACAGCCCCGCGTTGCCTTTCATCTTACATTTACCTCGGCTGTCGCCCAGCTGCCTGCCGTGTGCCAGCCACACGTGCGCATCGCACGGCCCCCGACCCGACCCGAGCACGATTAGCGGTCGACTCTTCTTAGCCCGCTGCTCTCTCCTCTCCTCTCCTCGTCACTCGTCGCTCGTCGCCGCGTGCGATTTCTTGCCATCGCTGAGCGACACTCTGTCGCTCACGAGTCATCGTAGATCGCAATGACGTCGCTGGTGTCGTCGCCCGCACGCCCATCGCTGCGCCTTTCGCCGTCGGATCAGCTCGTGCCACGATCGAGTCACGGATCCTCCTCGCCCTCCTCGATGCCCGCGCCAGATCGCGCCAGATTAAGCAGCGGCTCGTCGCTCATTGGCCAGCCGCTCAGTAGAGGTACGCGCGATGCGACGGGGTGGGTAGTTGGCACTGGCGGCCGGCTCGTCGTTCGTCAACACGAGCTTTCCGCCGGAAGGTAAACTGCGTGGCGGCAGCCATTCCGCGCCTGCCTGCGCGCCGACCGTCCTCGCCCCTATCCGCGTCGTCATCCGCCAATGCGCCGCGTTTGCCGCCCTCCCCCTCACCTCCCCCTCACCTCCACCAGCAGCCGCGGCCGCCAGCCGCTCGCGCCACGGGCGGGCGGCGGCCGTGGTGGCGCGCGCTGTGCAGGAGCCGCTGTCGGGCAGCGAGGGAGGCGCGGCGAATGGGAACGGGACAGGCGTCCCGCTGCGAGTGGCGTACCAGGTGAGTGCGATGCGACGCGGTGGCGCATGCGGGGTGGGCTGGGGAGGGGGGATTTGAGACGGCTCAAGAGCGCGGGATGGGGAGTGGCGCGTGGTGGTGGCGAGCCCGCGCATCACCAAGTCCGCACTCCAGCCGCGCCTGCCCCTGTGCGTGTGCATGCCCCTCCCCCCTCCCCCTCCTCCCCCCTCACCATCCCCAACCCCTCCCCTCCTTCCTTCCTCCCCCAATGGTCAGGGCGTGCCCGGCGCGTACAGCGAGATGGCGGCCATGCGCGCATACCCTGGGTGCAGCCCCGTGCCGTGCGACCAGTTCGACGACGCCTTCAAGGTGAGCCACGTGCCCTTCAAGGTGAGCCACGTGCCCTTCAAGGTGAGCCACGTGCCCTTCAATGCGAGCCACGTGCCCTTCAATGTGAGCCACGTGCCCTTCAAGGTGAGCCACGTGCCCTTCAAGGTGAGCCACGTGCCCTTCAAGGTGAGCCACGTGCCCTTCAAGGTGAGCCACGTGCCCTTCAAGGCGGGCCACGTGCCCTTCAATGTGAGCCACGTGCCCTTCAAAGCGAGCCACGTGTGAGCCACGTGCCCTTCAAGGTGAGCCACGTGCCCTTCAAGGTGAGCCACGTGCTCTTCAAGGTGAGCCACATGCCCCTCGATTCAAAGTGAGCTGAATGGCGCTCTCCAAAGTCACATTCACTCCTTGCTGCATTTCCCCTCACCTCCCCTTACTACCCTTCCTCCCCTAATCATCCATCTACCCTATTTCTATTGAAACCCCCCCCCCTGTCAGCCTTTCACTTCTATTCCCCACCCTTCCGCCGCCCTCTCCACCCGTCACCCATGCCCCATGCGTGGTACCAGGCGGTGGAGCAGTGGCTGGTGGGGCGCGCGGTGCTCCCGATCGAGAACAGCCTGGGGGGGTCGATCCACCGCAACTACGACCTGCTGCTGCGGCACCGCCTGCACATCGTGGGCGAGGTGCAGCTGCCCGTGCACCACTGCCTGCTCGCCCTGCCCGGCACCACGCCCGACCAGCTCACCCGCGTGCTCTCGCACCCCCAGGTGCGTGGCGGGCCAGACAGGGTGCCTCGCGTGCTGCACTGCTTCCTTTGCCTTGTGCTTTGCATGGCCCAAAGGTTGACCTTTCTAACCCCCTCTCTTCCTCCTCCCTCGCTCCCTCTCACTCTCCCTCTCCCTCACCACTACCACTCTCTCTTCCCACTCTCCTCCCCGCCCCTCGCTCCCCCCAGGCGTTGGCGCAGTGCGAGGCGACGCTGACCCGCCTGGGCGTGGTGCAGGAGGCCGTCTACGACACCGCGGGGGCCGCCCAGGTGAGCAGGGCGGGCGACGGCAGGGCAGGGGGCGGGGGGCTGGGGGCGGGGGGCAGGGGGCAGGGGGCTGGGGGCAAGGGGCAGGGCAGGCGGGCATTGAAAGCACTTGCAAGCCGGCTTTTAGGCGCGGTGAAACCGTCTGACTGCCATTCCCCTGTGGTGCGCAATGCTGTGGTGCCACGTGGCAGATGGTGGCAAGTCAGAAGATGGAGGGCGTGGGAGCAGTGGCCAGCACACGGGCGGCAGAGATCTACGGGCTCGACATCCTGGCGGACGGCATTCAGGTGAGCTGGTAGCCAGGATCCTGGTAGTTGGGCATAGGGCCTTAAGGTGGGCAGTTATGTGGCCCTCTCACTGACCTCTCACTTGTTTTCTACATCTTCTCTGACTCTTGACATCCCTTTTTATCCTGTATCCCACTCCCCCCCTCGCTCCCCCCCCGCCCCCCCCAGGACGAGGCGGACAACTTCACGCGCTTCCTGGCGCTGGCCCGTGACCCCATTCTGCCCTCCACCGACCGCCCCTTCAAGGTGACCCCATTCTGCCCTCCACCGACCGCCCCTTCAAGGTCGCCCTTCTCCTCGTCTCCGCCTCTGCCTCTCACCACCCCAACGTTGCTCCTTCGTTCCTCCCCTCCCCTCCCCTGCGCCTCTCTGTGGCCACCACCTGCTGTCCTGCTGCACCTGTGGCCATCACCGCCTGCTGTCCTGCTGCACCTGTGGCCATCACTGCCTGCTATGCGCCATCCTTGCCTCAACTCCACCTGCTCTTCATCCACCCATGCCCCTGTGGCCCCCCTGTGCCCCCCCCAGACGAGCATCGTGTTCACGCTGCAGTCGGGCCCGGGCGTGCTGTTCAAGGCGCTCTCCGTGTTCGCCCTGCGCGACATCAACCTCACCAAGGTCAGCGCCGCCCCCACCACTCCACCCCACCACTCCACCTCACCACTCCACCTCACCGCTGCACCTCACCACTGCACCTCACCACTGCACCTCACCACTGCACTTCACCACTGCACCTCACCACTGCACCTCACCACTGCACCTCACCACTGCACCTCACCACTGCACCTCACCACTCCACCTCACCACTCCACCTCACCACTCCACCTCACCACTCCACCTCACCACTCCACCTCACCACTCCACCTCACCACTCCACCTAACCACTGCACCTCACCACTGCACCTCACCACTGCACCTCACCACTGCACCTCACCACTGCACCTCACCACTCCACCTCACCACTCCATCTCACCACTGCACCTCACCGCTGCACCTCGCCACTCCACCTCACCACTGCACCTCACCGCTGCACCTCACCACTGCACCTCACCACTCCACCTCACCACTGCACCTCACCACTCCCACCTCACCACTCCACCTCACCACTCCACCTCACCACTCCCACCTCACCACTCCACCTCACCACTCCACCTCACCACTCCACCTCACCACTCCCACCTCACCACTCCACCTCACCACTCCACCTCACCACTCCACCTCACCACTCCACCTCACCACTCCACCTCACCACTCCACCTCACCACTCCACCTCACCACTCCTCCTCACCACTTCACCTCACCACTCCTCCTCACCACTGCACCTCACCACTGCACCTCACCACTGCACCTCACCACTGCACGCCTCATTTCCGCCTCACTCTGCCCTGCATCAGCCACCCACGTGTCACTCATCTGCCTCCTCGCGACCCTCTCCCGCCTTCCTCTCTTTTTCCCTCACATGTGATGCTGCTTTTACATGCCATCATGTGTTTATGTGCGTGCGTCCGCGCGCTTGTGCGTGTATGGGCGAGCAGATTGAGTCTCGGCCGCATCGTGACAAGCCGCTCTACGTGGACTGGTTGGATCGCTCCTCTCTCCCCTCGCCCGCCACGCCCCTCCCCCCCACACCAGCTGGCGCGGCTCAAGAGTGAGTGCTCCCCTCTCTCCTCTTCCACCCTCACCCAGCCATTGCAATGTGCCTCCACGTCCCTCCCATGCCTCTCCTCTCACCGAGCTCTGCATGGTGGGTCTCAGCGCCTCACCCAGCACGTAGCACCGCCCTCAGTTGCTACCACCGTGCCACGCTGCCTCGCCATCCGCATCTCGCTCTCCCCCACCTGTCTCTCCCCTGCTTGCCCAGGTCGCTGGCATACCAGTCGTTCGACTACCTCTTCTATGTGGACTTCCAGGCATCGCTGGCAGAGCCACGCGTGCAGAATGCCATGAGGCACCTCCAGGTGGGCAGAATGCCATGAGGCACCTCCAGGTGGGCAGAATGCCATGAGGCACCTCCAGGTGGGCAGAATGCCATGAGGCACCTCCAGGTGGGCAGAATGCCATGAGGCACCTCCAGGTGGGCAGAATGCCATGAGGCACCTCCAGGTGGGCAGAATGCCATGAGGCACCTCCAGGTGGGCAGAATGCCATGAGGCACCTCCAGGTGGGCAGAATGCCATGAGGCACCTCCAGGTGGGCAGAATGCCATGAGGCACCTCCAGGTGGGCAGAATGTCATGAGGCACCTCCAGGTGGGCAGAATGCCATGAGGCACCTCCAGGTGTGCTCCTGCCCTCCTCTCCCCTCCCGCCATGTTCCTCGCTCGTTCCACTCTCTTCCCACCTCCCTCGTCCTGGACCTTTCACTTTCACACACTTGCATCACCGCACCCTCACACTGCCCCCACGTTTACTCTCTGTTGACTCCCTCTCCCCCCTCCCCCTCGTCCCCTGCCCTCAGGAGATGGCGCCGTTCCTGCGGGTGCTGGGCAGCTACCCGATGGACCTGAGCCCCATGGACCACAGCACCGCAGGGGCAGGCAGCGGCGCGCAGGCCAGGCTCTGATGAGACGAGAAGAGATGAGATGAGATGCGATGAGATGAGATGAGATGAGATGAGATGAGATGAGATGAGATGAGATGAGATGAGATGGCACAAGGTGTTGCTGCCATGCGAGCATTGAGGATGCAGCAGGCATATCCTTTCAGCCCTCCCTCCCACGTGCTGTGCTAGCTGGCACGATTGCAACTCATTCCTCCTCCCAGTGATTGTTCATCTATGGTAGCCAAACCATGCCTGCTCTGCTCTCATCTCGTGCGGCTGCTCTCATCTCGTGTGGCTGCTCTCATCTCGTGCGCCTGCATTGTGTCGACGGCTGTATGTAATTGCCTTTTATTCCACATGCTCACAACTAGCAAAATCAGGAGAGCACCTACACCCTAGCCCTAAATACCCGAAACCCAGCACCCTAGAATGAATATGGGACTCATGTAGAGAACTTTTGAGGTGAGAGCAGGCTGTGGGGAGAGTATGCACAGTGGCTTAAAGCGGGTGGCAGATGAGCAAGGGAGCAAGATGGGCGTGGGAGCAGTGGGCCGGTCAGAAGCCGCAGCAGCCGTGCTTGCAGCAGGTGGAGGGGTAGAGGCAGCAGTACGGCTCGCCCCTCTGGTTCCTGCAGCACGCGCCCTGCCGCCGCTCGCAGCAAACCTTGCCGCCGCAGCACGGGTAGTGATGCCGGTCCTGCCAGGGGGGGTCACAGGGGAGGGGGAAGGTGGGGGTTGGGGGGGGAGGAAGGTGGGATTGGGTGGAGTTGATTCCTTGGCGTGTGGGGCAGTGAGACGAATAGACAACATGATTAGCCGAGAAGATATTACGAGATTTGTCCTCTGAACGCGCACGCTTGTGTGTGTGTGTGTGTGTGTGAGAGAGAGAGAGAGAGAGAGAGAGAGAGAGAGAGAGAGAGAGAGAGAGAGAGAGAGAGAGAGAGAGAGAGAGAGAGAGAGAGAGAGAGAGAGAGAGAGAGAGAGAGAGAGAGAGAGAGAGAGTGCGTGGAAGGGGGAGCAAGTGCATTGCGGGGGCGGGGATCGTACGATGCAGCAGGACCCGTTGCAGTAGATCGGCGGGGGGCTGCACCCCCGCGTGCCCGCGAACTCGCACCGCCCCGCGCCAGGCGCGCACGCCAGTGAGGGGAAGGAGGGGGGCGGCGGGACGACGGCGGGACCGGAGGGGGTGGAGGGGTGGAGGGGGTGGAGGGGGTGGAGGGGGTGGAGGGGGTGGGGGAGGGGCGCGACGGCGACGAGGAGGGGCGGGACTCGTCGTCGTGGTCGCTCGCATGGTGGTCGTCGTCGTCATCGTCGCTGTGCTCGTCGCCACCGTCGCTGTGGTCGTCGTCGCTGTCGCCACGCTGCTCGTAGCTGCTCTGCTGCCACGCGACGTGCTCCTCCTCGCCGCCGTGCGCCCGGTACACCGACGCGCCGTCATCGTCGCCGTCACCTTCCGCCTCGCCACGGCCATCGTCGTCCCTCTCCGCGCGCCACTCCGCGCTCACTTTCCCCTGCGACCGCAGCCCGCCCGAGCTCCCCTCGTCATCGCCGCTGCCCTCCCCCTCGTCGTCTCCCTCCAGCCATCGCCCGCGCGGCCCCGCGTGCGAATGCAGCGCAGCGGGGAGGGCTGCGCGGGAGAGGGTGGGGCGGACTAGGGCGGCGGCGAGGAGCGCGCAGAGGGCGACGCAGGGGAAGGAGAGGCAGTGCGCAGAAAGCGGAGAGACTCGGGGAGGCGCCATGATGCGGGGATTCGTGGAGAGACGCTGCCGCGAGTCGTGTCCTCCGCGGCGGAGAGCAGCGCGCGAGGAATCGGGGCTTGGAGGCGAGTGGCGTGGCGGCGGCCAGCACGGCGCACGAGGTGAGCGCGATGGAGGGAGAGACAGCGGGCACTCGCAATGGCAGGAATGTGGAAACCAGAAATGGGTCTTGTGCGGCACACTCGAGTGTGGGGGGTGGACGATCTGCGAGGGCGGGTGGACGGATGGGCCATGTGGGGCGGGTGCTGTGTGTGTGGACGAGCGGCTTGGCGTGCTGGAGTGGCTGGGCGTGCTGCTGCTCGCCTTGCTTGCGTGGCGGCGGTGCGTTGAATAACGGAGAAGATCCGACATGAGGCTCCATTGGGTGAGGCTGTTAGCGCCCCTAGGCTCGTGCCCAACGCGTGGCTCTGGTTCGACGACATGTTTCGGGGATATGGGAACCAGAAGCTTCTGCGAAGCCATCGAGCACAGTTCGAAGCGCTAACCGCAAATGATCCCTTATTGCAATCTTTGTTATACCGCAAGTTTGACAGCCACCAAGTGTAAGGAAATTTGTTTTTCCTTACTGGGCTCGACTAGAGTGCAGACGCTGCGGAACGAAAACTCGTCGATTCGCAAGGCGCGGGGTGAAACCCACCAGGGGCGGCCTGTTACCCGACACGAAGATGCTGCGAGCAAAGCGAGGGCGTCGGCTAAACTTGAAGCAGTTGAAGGAATCCACAGGGAGCTACGGGTGACCATTAAAATCAAACCACACATGCCGTCACCGTTCAACACAACCAACAAATCAACTACAGTGAGCTTGTGGTGAGTAGTGGTGAGTGGTGGTGAGTGGTGGTGGATGGTGATGAATGGTGGTAGGTTATGGTGGGTTGTGGTGGAGTGTGTTGGGTTGTGGTGGGTTGTGGTGGGTTGTGGTTGGATGTGGTTGGATGTCGTGGGTTGTGGTGGGTTGTGGTGAGTTGTGGTGGGTTGTGGTGCGTTGTGGTGGGTTGTGGTGAGTTGTGATGAATTGTGGCGAGTGGTGGTGGGTTGAAGTGGGTTGAAGTGAGTTGTGGTGAGGTGTGGTAGGTTGTGGTGGGTTGTAGTGGGTTGTGGTGGATTGTGGTAGACGGTGGTGGATTGTGGTAGATGGTGGTGGGTTATGGTGGATGGTGGTAAATTGTGGTACGCTCTGGTGAGTGGTGGTGGATTGTGGTGAGTTATGGTGAGTGGTGGTAAGTGGTGGTGGGTTGTAATAAGTGGTGGTGGGTTGTGGTAGGTTGTGGTGAGTTGTGGTGGGTTATGGTGGGTTGTGGTAGGATGTGGTGAGTTGTGGTGGGTTGTGGTGGGTTGTGGTAGGCTTTGGTGGGTTATGGAGGGTTATCGTGGGTTGTGGTGGATTGTGGTGGGTTGTGGTGGGTTGTGGTGGGATGTGGTGAATTTTGGTGGGATATGGTGGATGGTGGTGAGTGGTGGTGAGTTGTGGTGGGTTTAGGTGGGAGGTGTTGGGTTATGCTGTGATGTGGTGAGTTGTGGTGCATTGTGGTGAGTTGTAGTGAGTTGTGATTGGTGGTCGTGAGTTGTGGTGAGTTGTGGTGGGTTGTGGTGGGTTGTGGTGTGTTGTGGTGGATTGTGGTGGATGGTGGTGGATTGTGGTGGATTGTGGTGCGTTATGGTGGGTTGTGGCTGGTTGTAGTGAATTGTGGTAGGTTGTGGTAGGTTGTGATGAGTAGTGGTAGGTGTTGATGGGTGGTGGTGAGTGATGGTGAGTGGTGATGAGTTCTGGTGGGTTGTGGTCGGTCGTGGTGGGTCGTGGTGAGTTGTGGTTGTGGTCGGTCGTGGTGGGCTATGGTGGGCTGTAGTAGGTTGTGGTAGATTATGGTAGGCTGTGCTGAGTGGTGGTGTGGTGGTGGGTGATGGTGAGTGGTGGTGAGTTTTGGTGAGTTGTGGTGGGTTTTGGTGGCTTGTAGATGATTGCGGTGGGTTGTGGTGGGTTGTGGTGCGTTGTGTTGCATTGTGGTCAGTTGTAGTGGGTTGTGGTAGGTTGTGATGGGTTGTGGTAGGTCGTGGTGGGTCGTGGTGGGTCATGGTGGCTCGTGGTGGCGCATGGTGGCTTGTGGTGACTTGTGGAGGGTTGTGGTGGGTTGTGATGGGTTGTGGTGGGTTGTGGTGGGTTGTGGTGAATTGTGGTAGGTTGTGGTGGGTTGTGGTGGGTTGTGGTAGGTTGTGGTGGGTTGTGGAGAGTGGGGTTGGGTTGTGGAGAGTGGGGATGGCTTGTGGTGGGTTGTGGTAGGTTGAGGTGAGTTTTGGTGAGTTGTGGTGGGTCGTGATGGGTTATGGTGGATTTTGGTGGGTTGTGGTGGGTTGTGGTAGGATTTGGTGGGTTGTGGTGGATTGTGGTGAGTTGTGGTGAGTAGTGGTGGGTAGTGGTGGGTGATAGTAGGTTGTGGTGGGTTGTGGTGGAGTGTGTTGGGTTGTGGTGGGTTATGGTGGGTTGTGGTGAGTTGTGATAAGGTGTGGTGAGGGGTGGTGAGTTGTGGTGGTTGGTAGTGGGTGGTGGTGAGTGGTGGTAAGTGGTGGTGAGTGGTGATGGGTTGTGGTAGGTTGTGGTGGGTTGTGGTGGGTTGTGGTTGGTTGTGGTGGGTTGTGGTGGGTTGGATGGGTCGTGGTGAGTTGTGGTGAGTTGTGGTGAGTGGTGGTGAGTGGTGGTGGGTAGTGGTGAGTGGTGGTTAGTTGTGGTGAGTGGGGGTGGCTTGTGGCGGGTTGTAGTGGGTTGTGGTGGGTTGTGGTGAGTAGTGGTGAGTGGTGGTTGGTGATTGTGGGTGATGGTAGGTTGTGGTGAGTGGTGGTGTGTTGTGGTGGGTTATGATGGGTTGTGGTGTGTTGTGGTGGGTTGTGGTGGGTTGTGGTGGATTGTGGTGGGTTGTGGTGGTGAGTTATAGTGGATTGTGGTGAGTTGTGGTTGGTTGTGGTGAGTAGTGGTGAGTTGTGGTGGATGGTGGTGAGTGGTGATGAGAGGTGGTGGGTAGTGGTGAGTGGTGATGAGTGGTGGTAGGTTGTGATGGGTTGTGGTGGGTTGTGGTGGGTTGTGGTGGGTTGTGGTGAGTTGTGGTGGTTTGTGGTGGGTTGTGGTTGGTTGTGGTGGGTTGTGGTGGGTTTTGGTGGATTGTGGTGGGTTTTGGTGGGTTGTGGAGGGTTGTGTTGGGTTGTGGTGGGTTCTGGTGGGTTGTGGTAAGTTGTGGTTAGTTGTGGTGAGTGGGGGTGGCTTGTGGTAGGTTGTAGTGGGTTTTGGATGGTTATGGTGAGTTGTGGTGAGTTACGGTGGGTTGTGGTGGGTTGTGGTGGATTGTGGTAGGTTGTGGTGGGTTTTGGTGGGCTGTGTGGGGCTGTGGTGGGTTGTGGTGGATTGTGGTGGGTTGTGGTGGGTTTTGGTGGCTTGTAGGGCGTTGTGGTGGGTTGTGGTATATTGTAGTGAGTGGTGGTGAGTGGTGGTGAGTGGTGGTAAGTGGTGGTGAGTTGTGGTAAGATTTGGTGAGTGGTGGTAAATTGTGGTGGGTTGTGGTGAATTGTGGTGGATTGTGGTGGATTATGGTGGGTTGTGACGGGTGGTGGTAGGTGGTGGTGCATGGTGGTGCGTTGTGGTGGGTTGTGGTAATTTGTGGTGCGTTGTTGTGGGTGGTGGTGAGTGGTTGTGAGTGGTGGTGAGTGGTGGTGAGTGGTAGTGAGTAGTGGTGAGTTGTGATGGGTAGTGTTCAGTTGTGGTGAGTTGTGGTGGGTTGTGGTGGGTTTTGGCGGATTGTGGAGGATTATGTGGGGTTGTGGTGGGTTGTGGTGGGTTTTGCTTGGTTGTGGTGGGTTGTGTTTGGATGTGGTTGGATGTGGTGGCTTGTGGTGGATTGTGGTGAGTTATGGTGAGTTGTGGTGGGTTGTGGAGAGTTGTTGTGGATTGTGGTGGGTTGTGGTGGGTTGTGGGACGTTGTGGTGGGTTGTGGTGCGTTATGGTTTCAGGTAGGTGAGTGGTGGTGAGTGGTGGTGAGTGATGGTGAGTAGTGGTGAGTTGTGGTGAGTGGTGGTGCGTGGTGGTGGGTGCGGGTGAGTGGTGGTGTGTTGTGGTGAGTTGTGGCGGGTTGTCGTGGGTGTGGTGGGTTGTGGTGCGTTGTGGTGGGTTGTGATGAGTTGTGGTGGATTGTGGTGGGTTGTGGTGGGTTGTGGTGAGTTGTGGTGAGTTGTGGTAAGTTAGGGTGAGATATGGTGGGTTGTGGTGGGTTGTGGTGTCGTGAGTTGTGGTGAGTTGTGGTGGGTTGTAGAGGGTTGTGGTGGGTTGTGGTGGGTTGAGGGGCATTGTGGTGGGTTGTGGTGCGTTGTGATGCGTGTTGGTGAGTGGTGGTGCATTGTGGTGGGTGGTGGTGAGTGGTGCTGAGTTGTAGTGAGTTGTGGCGGGTTCTGGTGGGTTGTTGTCGTTCGTGGAGGGTTGTGGTGGGTTATGGCGGGTTCTGGTGGACTATGGTCGGTTGTGGAGGGTTGTGGTGGGTTGTGGTGCGTTGTGGTAGGTTCTGTTGAGTTGTGGTGGGTTGTGGTGAGCTGTGGTGAGTTGTGGAGGGTTGTGGTCGGTTGTGATGAGTTGTTGTGGATTGTGGTGAGTTGTGGTGAGTCTTGGTGAATTGTGGTGAGTTGTCGTGGGATACGGTGAGTTGTGGTGAGTTGTGGTGAGTTGTGCTGGGCTGTAGTTGGGTGTGGTGGGTTGTGGTGGATTGTTTTGGGTTGTGATTGGTTTTGGTTAGTTGTGGAGGGTTTTGGTGGGTTGTGGTGGGTTGTGATGGGTTGTGGAGCGTTGTGGTGGGTTGCGGTGCGTTGTGGTAAGTGGTGGTAAGTGGTGGTGAGTGGTAGTGAGATGTGGTGAGTTGTGGTGAGTGGTGGTGATTTGAGGTGGGTTGTGGTGGGTTATGGTGGGTTGTGGTGGGTTGTGGTGGGTTGTGGTGGGTTGTGGTGGGTTATGGTGGGTTGTGGTGGATTGTGGTGGATGGTAGTGGATGGTGGTACGTTGTGGTTGTTTGTGGTGGGTTGTGGTGGGTTGTGGTGAGTGGTGGTGAGTGATGGTGAATGGTGGTGAGTGGTGGTGAGTAGTGGTGAGTTATGATGGGTAGTGTTCAGTTGTGGTGAGTTTTCGTGGCTTGTAGTGGGTTTGTGGCGGCTTTTGGCGGGTTGTGCTGGATTGTGGTGAATGGTGGTGTGTAGTGGTGGGTGGTGGTAGGTGATGGTTGGTTGTGGTGTATTGTGGTGTGTTGTGGTGGGTTGTGGTGGATTGTGGTGGGTTGTGGTGGGCTTTGGTGTGTTGTGGAGGGTTGTGGTGGGTTGTTGCGGGTTGTGGTGGGTTGTGGTAGGTTGTGGTGAGTTGTGGAGCATTGTGGTGGGTTTTGGTGCATTTTGGTAAGTGGTGGTGAATTGTGTTGAGTTGTGGTGAGTGGTGGTGAATTGTGGTGGGTTTGTTGGGAATTGTGGTAGGTTGTGGTGGGTTATGGTATGTTGTGGTGTATTATGGTGGGTGTTGGTGGATGGTGGGGCATTGTGGTAGGTTGTAGTGGGTTGTGGTGGGTTGTGGTGGGTTGTGGTACGTTGTGGTGGATTATGGTACATTGTGGTGAGTGGTGGTGCATGGTGGTGAATGGTGGTGAGTGGTGGTGAGTTGTGATAGTGTTCATTTGTGGTGAGTTGTGGTGGGTTGTGGTGAGTTATTTTGAGTTGTGGTGAGTTGTGGTAAGTTGTGGTGAGTTGTGGTGGGGTGTGGTGGGGTGTGGTGGATTTTGGTGGGTTGTGGAGAGTTGTGTTGGGTTGTGGTGGATTGTGATGGGTTGTGGTGTGTTTTAGTGGGCTGAGGTGGGCTGTGGGGCATTGTGGTGGGTTGTGGTGCGTCTTAGTGAGTGATGGTGAGTAGTGGTGAGTTGTGGTGAGTGGTGGTGAGTTGTGGTGAGTGGTGGTGCGTGTTGGTGGGTGGTGGTGAGCTGTGGTGGGATTTGGTGGGTTGTGGTGGGTTGTGGAGGCTTGTGGTTGGTTGTGGTGGATTGTGGTAGGTTGTGGTGGGTTGTGGTGTGTTGTGGTGGGTTATGGTGAGTTGTGGTGAGTTGTGGTGGGTTGTGGTGGGTTGTGGTGGATTGTGGTAGGTTGTGGTGGATTGTGGTCAGTTGTGGTGGGTTGAGGGGACTTGTGGTATGTTGTAGTGCATTGTGGTGAGTGATGGTGAGTGGTGGTGAATTATGGTGAGTAGTGGTGTGTGTTGGTGGGTGGTGGTGAGTGGTGAGTGGTGGTGAATTGTGGTGAGTTGTGGTGGGTTTTGGTGGGTTGTGGTGGGTTGTGGAGGGTTGTGGTGGGTTGTGGTGGATTGTGGTGCGTTGTGGGGGATTGTGGTGAGTTGTGGTGGGTTGTGGTGGATTGTGGTGAGTTGTGGTGAGTTGTGAAAACCCTCAGCTCCGGTGCGACAGTAATACGAAAAGTTCAAGGACTCTCCATCTGCAGAGTGTAGTTTGCAGGTTCACCCCCCTTATTCAGCCAAAAGTTGTCGACAGTGCTACCTGGTGGGGTTGGTGATTTTTGGGCGACGTAGCTAAGCGAGCAGCAGGCCAAACGCCGCCAACCCTTAACTGCTCCTAGACTCCCGTCGTTCGTCTCCGACTGCTTCAACTCCTGGCAGTTAACGCTTTCGGCGACCGATGGAAAAACACTTTCTACAATCCCAGGGGTGGTGGCTTCCATTTCCGTTGATCGTGGGGGTATGAATCGCTGGTCCATGAAAAACGCCTCCCTCGCGGGAAGTCGCCCTCGCTGAGTACACCCACTCCAGCACAGCGTCATCACCTCCAGATGGCCGTTGTGGTGAATAGCGCCGAGGTCGTTAATTCCAGCTGCTCCCACGCAACTGCACACCCACACGTCCTTGTGCGATCGTGTCGTTCCGAAATTGTCGGATCCGCCCATTGCCAAAATAGTGTTGAAGTCCCGTCCATCGTCTGCAACTAGTATGCCGGAAACGCTGGGACGCGCGACACAACTACAGTTCACCATGCAACTTCATGGCACGTCCCGCCATTGTCGTTACCCCGCGCGTTCTTGACGACCAACTCCCGGCTGCCTGAGGACTCCCGTGCACTTGTCTCATCGTGACGAAGCCATTGTTTTTTTCGGAAGCCAATCCGAAGACTTCGTCACAACGCCCGAAAATTACGAAAGCTCTCAGGAACATACCCGAAAAACACGGCGAAAACGACGCCCACTATTCAACGGGAAATAATTTTGTCTACGCCCGGGGAAGGGGAGGACCGGCTAATCACAGCCGTCCATCGGACAGGATCTGACAGTATCGGAAACGCCCGCGTAATTAATCTCCGCGTCGCCCGCTCTCCATCAGCATCCTTCCACCTCCTTCCCTGATAGGCTCTGCTCCCCTACCGGAAAACTAATGGGCAGGAATGCAGCTCTGATACCAGCTGTTATGAATCATAACTCAGAGTATAGTGCTGAATACTATAGGGGAACGTGATTCCAGAGTATTCTATTCAAATGAGACCTAGGGCTTATACAGTGCGAGTTGACCAGGTTGAATGTCAAGTTCAGGGTTGGACCAGTCAAGGGCGCGAAAGTCCCAAGGGTGGGGGGTCAAAATGGGTTCGGAGCGACTCGGGATGAGGTTGGGGCCGACGAGCTCGACGGGGGCTGGTTTGGCGCGAGAACCAAGGGCCGAGCCTGCGGACCCGAGAGGTTCGCGTATACTCGCTGTAGCGAGCCCCAGTAAAGAATCGTAATTCCTTACAATATCACTTTAGGATAACGCAATGGTTGTCATGGTAACCAGCGTCCCTGTCAGCCCGCTGTTGTTGGAAGTGACGCCTGACGTGTACGTGGTTGTGCGGTGGAGATGCACGCGTTTGTCGCTCCCCCAGTTGCCCAGAGTTCAGCAGCGGTCACTAGGTCGCATCACCATCTCGTGCGACGCTGAGCGACCAGCACTCTCAAAACTCGACGTTCGCCGCTCGTGACAGGCACACACACACCACGGTCGCACCCGAGGTCTCGCCTTGCCTTGCTGTGCTCTGACGTCATTTCCCTGCCCGCTCTTCCACGGCAAATCTTTTCTGTGGATCTCGAGAGCACTACAGCTTCGTCTCGCCTTACCAGCCGCCTTCGCCATCTGCAGCAGCAACTTTTTGCCTGCTGTGGTGCCAAGTGTTCGTCGAAGTCCGTGCCATAGTCCTCCTGATAGCATTGTCGCCGTGTCATAGTCGCCGTGTCAGCATAGTCGCCGTGCGATTATGATCGGTGACGGCAGCGCCGCAGCGGTGGCGGCGGCGGCGGACCACCTCGTCGAGTCGCTCCACTCCGCCGCGCCCGACGCCGCGGCGTCGCTCGCCACCGGCCCCACGCCGGCGCTGGTGGCGCTGGTGTCGCTGGCGGTGCTCGTGTCGTCGCTCGCGCTCTTCCTCCTCCGCCACCGCACCGCCTCGTCGCTCAACGCGCGACAAGTACCAGCCGCCGCGGGGCCAGGCGCCGGGGGCAAGTACCAGCCGCTGGCGAGGGGGCTCGAGGCGGCAGGTGTGGCGAGTGAGGGCGAGGAGAGGACTAGCGGGGCGTGTGAGGCGGAGGGCGAGGAGGGCAAGGCGGCGATCGGCGTGCTGTTCGGCACGCAGACGGGCACCGCCGAGGGATTCGCCAAGGTGCGGCGGGCTCATGGGCAGAGGCGGCCCTAGATGGGGTCGCGCGGGTGAGAGGCGCGCGCTTGTAGCAAGGGTGGCCCGCCAGAATGGGCGACGAAGGGGTTGCTTGGGTGGGGAAGTGCATGGCTGCGCTTGCCACCAGATTCCCCTTCCCGCCCTGCCGCCTCCTCACCCCCGCCCTGCCTCCTCACCCCCGCCCTGCCTCCTCATCTCCCCTCCCCCCCCCACACCCGCCGTCCCTGCGCCATATGCCCCTCGCCACCCTGGCAGACACTTGTCTCGGAGCTGCAGCACCACTTCGCACCGCACTGCACCGTGGAGCTCAACAGTTTGGTGCGTTCCTGGGCGCCTCTCCGAATCGTTGCCTGTGAGAGGAGTCATGGCATGCCCTCACGCCTGCATACGTGCTTAGGCGTGCTCCCATGCACGCATGCCTTTACATACCTCCCTGCATCTGCGCATAACACTCATACATTGCGTACATGCATCCATACTCATACTGCTTGCATGCATGCATTCGCTTACCCCTCACTGCATGCGTGCACATACTGCCATACCCCCATGCCCCCATGGCAGGACGATCTAGCGGCGGACAGCGAGGGCTTCACAGCGAGGCTCAAGGCGTTCCACGCCGCCTTCTTCCTCGTCGCCACGTGAGTTGCGGCTGCGCTCTCCTCCTCCGCCTCCCGCGTGCACGCCAGCCTTGTGGGATCCGCTTGTCATGTGCTTGCCACTGCGCTGCCGGGGCCCTTATCTGTGCACGCTCACTTCCAAGCCCACACGCGCCACCCACGTGCGTCTCTTTTCCACCCGCGTGTCCGCACCTCGTGGCAGGTACGGCGATGGCGAGCCAACGGACGACGCGCAGCGCTTCTTCAAATGGCTCCACGCTGCTGCTGCCAGCGCAGAGGCTCAGGTGGGTGCTGCTGCCAGTGCTGAGCCTGAGGTGGGTGGTGCTGCCAACGCCGACCGTTTTTGTGTGTTTGCGTTGAAGCGCCGCGCTTCATCACTGGAGACCACAGCTTCCTCTCCGGCATCTTGCTGCTGCCATCCCTCTGAGTGACAGTTTCCTCTACGGTATCCACCATGCCGTCATCCATCCCACCTGCACCTGCCGTCATCCATCCCACCTGCACCTGCCGTCATCCATCCCACCTGCACCTGCCGTCATCCATCCCACCTGCACCTGCCATCATCCATCCCACCTGCACCTGCCGTCATCCATCCCATCCCACCTGCACCTGCCGTCATCCATCCCACCTGCACCTGCCGTCATCCATCCCACCTGCACCTGCCGTCATCCATCCCACCTGCACCTGCCGTCATCCATCCCACCTGCACCTGCCGTCATCCATCCCACCTGCACCTGCCATCATCCATCCCACCTGCACCTGCCGTCATCCATCCCACCTGCACCTGCCGTCATCCATCCCACCTGCACCTGCCGTCACCCATCCCACCTGCACCTGCCTTCGTCCTCACCAGGATGCCACAGCTGACAACCCCTTGCCTCTGGAGGGTCTTCGATTCGCAGTCTTTGGTCTCGGCAATCGGCAGTACGAGCACTTCAACTTGGTATGTATGAGGATGACACTACAATGGTCCAACTTCTACTTGCCATGCAATGCAAGCACGCGATAAAGCTGCAGGGGATGATGCTTTGCGACCTTGTTTTACAACATCTCTGCTCGATTGGCTGTGAGCACGTCAATCCCCGTCCCCATACGTCCGTCTACCTTCCTCTCTTTGTCCACTTCCGTTCGTCTCCTTAACACTCTTGGCTTCTAAAGTTTTCGTTTCCTCGTCCTCCCCGCTGGCTGCGTGCGTGTGCGTGCAGATGGGCAAGTCGCTGGACAAGCATCTCGCCGCCCTCGGTATGCTCCGCCCCCTCCTTGCCTTACCATCCGCGCATCCATTTCTTCGTGTCGATCGCTTAATCAGGCAATCGCCCTCTCTGCTCTCTGCTCTCTGCTCTGTGCTCTCTGCTCTCTGCTCTGTGCTCTCTGCTCTCTGCTCTCTGCTCTCTGCTCTCTGCTCTCTGATCTCTGCTCCGCCCACCCCACCTCTCTGCTCCCTCCATGCACGCGCACCTGTGCGTGGGCTGCTGGGTGCATGGCAGGCGGGCAGCGTGTGGCGGAGGTGGGGCTGGGCGACGACGACCAGTGCATTGAGGACGACTTCAAGGCCTGGTCAGTGCTCACTGCACCCTGTGCCTTGCTCCCCTCCCTCTGCTGCACACCACGCCTTGCTCCCCTCCCTCTGCCACACGCCACGCCTGCTTGAATCTCTGAGCGTGCGCGACCCCTCTGCTTGTCACCTCACCGCCCCCCGTCGCCATCGTCCACCCCATGGCCTCACCTCTCTGCCTCCTCGCACGCCCCTCTCGCCCCCCTACCTGCTGCCCCCACCGCGTGCCCCGTGGCCTGCAGGAGGACGGGCGTGTGCAAGGGCTTTGAACAGCTCGTGCTGCGCAGGGGGGGCGGTGGGGACGACCAGGGGGGCGAGGGGGCAGCGGAGGGGGAGTGGGAGGAGGAGGAGGAGGAGGTGCGAGAGTACTGGGTGCAGTACCACGGGAGGGGGGGGGAGGGGGCGGATGGAAGGGAGAACGGAGAGGTGAATGGGAGGGAGAACGGGGAGGTGAATGGGAGGGAGAACGGGGAGGTGAATGGGGGAGAGAAAGGGGCGAATGGCGTGCAGGAGCAGATGAGCATGGGGGAGGCGATTGCAGCAGTGGGATGGCACTCGCACACCATTGCCAGGTGACTGCCGCTCACAGCTGTGTGCTCGTTGACTGTGGGCCTCTTTTCTTGCTCCAAGTTGCTCTGCCAAGCTGTCAGTATGCTGCTTGCTCAACAACACTGCCATGCTCAAATGCCAACTGCTCTTTATTTCCAACCCAAACAATCTCCCATGACTTCTCGCCATCCCTCAATTGGTCCTTTGTATTACATAGACGAAGAGTACAGACAAGGCATTTGGACACGCACAAAGGTGAGTCCTAACAGCCCGGACCAGAGGACCCTAAGGGTCTCCCAGCACCGGCTCATCCCTCCATCCCGGTCCTCCTCCCCTATCTCTTCCTTCTCCTTTCCTCCCCTGCCTACTCGCCTCCGTCCCTCAGGGCGCGGCTGGCAGCAGTGAGGGAGCTGCAGGCGCCGCACTCGGACCGCTCCACACTGCATGTGGAGCTCGACCTCTCAGAATGCCCGGGCCTTCAGTATGTGCACCGCACCACGCCCACACCCCCCATGCCATGCGCCCACCCCCCCATGCCATGTGCCCACCCCCCCATGCCATGCGCCCACACCCCCCATGCCATGCGCCCACCCCCCCATGCCATGCGCCCACGCACCCCATGCCATGCGCCCACGCACCCCCATATGCCATGCGCCCACGCACCCCCCCATGCCATGCGCCCACGCACCCCATGCGCCCACACACCCCATGCGCCCACGCACCCCATGCGCCCACACACCCCATGCGCCCATGCACCCCATGTGCCCACACACCCCATGTGCGCACACACCCCATGCGCCCACACACCCCATGCGCCCACACACCCCATGGGCCCACATCTTGTGAATCCGTCATGCCTGAAGGCCAACACGCCCCACTGCAACTTGCTGAGAAGCATCCATCCGCCCTGCTCCTCGCACGGCTCTTCTCACGTGTGCCCATGTCTCCCATGTCTGCCCCCCCCCCCCCCCTACTTTCCCTCCGCATCTTTCCGATCCCATGTCTCACAGCTACGAGGTGGGCGACCATGTGGCAGTGTTTCCGGAGAACAGTGAGGCTGATGTGGCAGCAGTGGCCAGGTGTCTGGGAGTGGACCTGGATGACGTCATCTCCCTGCACCTGCCATCCCCGTCCTCCTCCCTGCCACCCCCCCCTCCCGGCCACCACACCATCCGAGCCGTGCTCGCCTCGCTGCCCGACCTCCACTCCTCGCCGCGCAAGGTGCCCCCCACCCTCTCCTCTGCACCGGCTGCTGCTCTGCGCGTCGTGTGCCTCTGCCCCTCTTCTCAATCTCTGCGCGCTGCTCCTGCGTGCTGTTAGCTGTGCCAAAGCAGTGCCACCTGCTTCTCTCCTCCTGCCTTCTCGTCTTCCCTCTGGTCCCATGTCTCCTTCTCGCCCTGCCCCCCCTTCCCCCACCCGCCCAGGCAGCGCTGTCAGTATTGGCTCGCTGTGCCGCGGACCCAAAAGAGGCGGAGCGCCTGAAGCACCTCGCCAGCGACCAGGGCAAGGTGGGGCCGTAGGGCAAGGTGGGGCAGCAGGGCAAGGTGAGCGACACCCTGGTAAGCATGGCAGCTGCTGGTGTGGATCGTTTGCCCCCGGAGGTCTGTATGAGCCGTGCTGCCACTCGTGCTTCCCTCTGCGCCATTGGTCCAGCCAGGGCCGTGTGCCACCATGTTAAGCCTGCATGCTCGCCCTCGTCACTCCCTCCCCTCCCCCCCCCCACCCCCCCGATGCTCGCCCATCCCCTCTCCACCCCCCCTCAGGCGGACTACCTGCAGTGGGTGCTGGCGGCGCACCGCTCGCTGCTGGAGGTGCTGCAAGCCTTCCCCTCCGCGCGCCCCCCTCTCGCCGTCTTCCTCGCCTCCATGGCGCCGCGCCTGCAGCCACGCTTCTACTCCATCTCCTCCCACCCCAGGTGCGCCCTCCATCTCCTCCCACCCCAGGTGCGCCCTCCATCTCCTCCCACCCCAGGTGCAATCCCCCTTCCCCCACCCAAGCCGCTCTCCCCCGTCCGTACCCTGCATCGATGCCCGTCACCTGGGCCCCCCGCTGCCCTTGTTTTAAATTATCTTGTTCAGCTCCCAGCCCTCTACGCCAACTAGATCCCTCCAAGCTACTTGTATAATCTGCTCCCCCTATCCAGAATCTTCCCCTCACCACTAATCTCTTCGCATTCTTCCAGTCCCATTCAAGATTCCTGTCACTGAAAAGGCTGCTGCTGCTGTTGCCCCTGTCCACAGGCACGCACCCTCATCGCTGCACATCACATGCGCCGTGGTGCGCGACGTCACTCCCGCGGGCCGCACGCACCACGGCGTGTGCTCCTCACACCTCCACCGCCACCTGCCCCTGCTCGCCCACCCCTCTTCCCCCTCCTCGCCCCCCTCGCCCCCCGTGCGCGTGCCGGTGTTCATCCGCTCCTCGCACTTCCGCCCGCCCGCCGACCCCTCGCGCCCCATCGTCATGGTCGGTCCTGGCACTGGCCTCGCGCCCTTCAGAGCCTTCCTGCAGGTGAGCTGCGCCCTTCAGAGCCTTCCTGCCCTCCCTCTCCCTGCCTGCACCTGCCCGGTAACGGGCCCATAGCAAGTGGCCACATGGCACCTTAGCCCATGGCTGACCTCTCTGCAGGCCTGTGGGTAGGCAGCAGCGCACTCAACTTCTCTTTGTCGCGCACTTCGTCTCCATTCCTCCCATTTTCAAACTCCCCCCCCCCCCCCCCCCCCCCAATTCCCCCTGCCCTGCAGCACCGTGCTCTGCTACTGAAGGGCGGGGAGAGTCTGGGGGAGGCGCTTCTGTTCTTCGGCTGCCGCCACCACGACCAGGTGCGCCCCCTGGGTCAGGCGGGGGTTTGGGTGGGTGGGGGGGGGAGGAATGGGAGCAGGAGATGGGGAGGACGCAGGAAAGCGTGTGGAGTGTCCAGATGTCTTCTTTGTCTTCTTTGTCTTTACATGAACCACTTGCCTGCACGCGTCTGTCTGCTCCTATGTTGGAAAATACGCGTATTGCGTTTTATACGCTAGCGTATATACGCTTGCGTATATACGCTATACGCTTGGATTTGGGGTCCAATACGGCAGGAATACGGCTGCCCGGGCAGGCAAAAAAATTTTGCCCGGGCAGGGAAAAAAAACCGGCGGGCAGCCGGGAGAGGGGGGGTGGGGGCCCGGGGGGCAGGGCATCAAGTTTGATTTTTTCTTCTTCTCCATTAAAATAACTTAACACAGGCATTTGTCACATCAAGAGCTTACTGCTAGCCCCTACCACTGCTATCACTGCTGCTACTACTTCTACAGCTGCTGCAGCCACTCTCGCCCACTGCTGCTGCTGACTGGTCCACTGCTGCTGCTGTTACTCCCACTGCTGCAGCTGCCTGCCCCCCTGGTGCTGCCGCTGCCACTCCCCCTGCAGCTGCCTCTGGTGACGGGTCTACTGGTACTCGTCCTCCATGACGAGATCCTCCCCCTCCTCCTCCTCCAGGTCGTCCTCCAGGTTGTACCCCGTGGGCACAGGGGCCTCGGAGCTGCACCCAGGAAGGACCAAGGACCCCCCGTCCTCCTTGTGCCAGTTGTGGACCTGGTGCCAGTTGTGGGACACATAGACCAGGTCCCGACACTTTTCGGCACCGAGGCGGTTGCGCTTGGCAGTGTGGACCGCCTCCCACACTGCCCAGTTACGCTCGCATGCGGCCGCTGAAACGGGCTGTGAGAGCACCCGACAGGCCAGTGCGGCAAGCTCAGGGTAGTCGGACCCATGCCACTGCCACCACCGCGCCATGCTCTGCCTCCCCTCCTTCACTGCTGCACGATCAGCAATGGCGGTGGGGAGCCCGAAGCTGCCCTTCAGAGTGATGAAGGCGTCGAGGCCGTCTTGCATCACGAGGGTTGCACGAATGGGCTCGCCATCCCTCATGAACTCTTTGTCTTCGTAGTGGCGGGCGATGAAGGCTTTGAATACCCTCGTGCACTCCATGTCCGAGGGGAAGATCCCCTCCTCCTGATTGGCCGGGTTTAGGATGCGGCCAACCACATGGAGGGGGCACGCCATGCTGCCGTCCCACCTCCTTTTCACCATGCGGCGGATGGCATTGGCGTCCGCAGCGGTGAGCCCCTCCAGCCGCGCCTCCTCCAGCTTCTCATCGACATCAACGGTGAGCTGCAGCATGAGGTCGTACATACGACCCATCATGCCCTTCGCCGACGAGTCGGTGGCGCGCATTGCCATGAACGGCAGCCGCATGAGGTTGACAAACTGCAGGGCCTTGGTCCACCAGTCGGAGTCGAGTATGGCAGCGCTGAACGCCTCGCTGCCCGGCTTCCTCCCCCCATCCGCGAACCTGGCCCACTCCTCACTCAGCACAAGCTGAGTGAGAGACATCCGCACCTCGCACAGCCGGGACACGGAGATGAATTGGGTGCCGAAACGCGTGCCGGCCGGTTTCAGCACCTGTTTCCCCTTGCCCCCCTCCACCTTATCGCTCCGCATGTAGTTGCGGGTGAGGTGGTGCTTGCGGACGAAGGAGGTGATGATGTTGGCCTTCTCCACCACCTCCTTCGCCCACGCCATCCTCCCGATGTCCTCCATGAGGAGGTCGAGCACGTGCGTGGCGCATGGCACGTGCTCGATGTGGGGGTGCTCGGCGATTAGGATCCTGCAGGCCGCGGCGTAGTTCGAGCCGCCATCCATGCAGAAAGCGACGACGTTCTCCGGCCCAACGCGCTGGATAATAGGGCGGAGAATACCGGCAATATAGCCGCCGGTCTTCATTTCCATGTTTGTGTCCACAGCATCAGTAAAAACTGCTCCGGAGTCGTTGATAAGGAGGACGTTGGCGATGGGCCGGCCGTTCTGGTCCGTCATCATATCGCTAGCAATGGTGACGCCGCTCCGCCGCCAGCTGCTGGAGATGGGAACCAGCGCGGCCTCGATACTGGTGCGGCAGTCGCGCAGGCCGGCACCGCCGATGTACTTGCGCTTCGGGGGAACGTAGGAAGTGCCGGCGCGAGCGATGGCGGAGACCGCATTCCGGAAGAGGACGTGGTCCGCGTGATGCTCCGGCAGGCGCAGACCAGCGAAGAGGAGGCAGAGCGCCCGGTCCGCTTCCTTCTTACGGCAGGCGGACTCGTCACCGAAAAAATTGGTGATGCGCCCCTTTTTGCCGCTGCCGCAGCCGTTAACCGCAGACAGCGCTTGCTCCTCCGCCTCGCGCTTCCCCTCCCGCTCCCTAATTCGTGCCTCGTACAGCGCCTTAACTCCGTCGCGCACGTCTTGCGTCACCGCGGTGCAGAGGGTCACATCGCGACGACGAAGTTTGTTCCACTCGGCGAGGTGCTGCGCGCAACGCGTCATCCCGCCATTGAAGGTGTGCCCGCAATAACAGCAGCGGCGGTTTTCCGTAGTCTTGCCGTCCGCATTAAGCGCGGTTTCGAAATGCTTAAAAATAGGATGCGACGCATCCGTAACGTAAACAGTGCCGGAGGAGGAGGCAGCCTCGCCATCGTTAGTAGGTGCGGGCACGCTCGGGGGGTTGATGGGGTGGACGACGCCATGACCACTACGGTGAAGTAAGAGGGGAACTGAGCTAAGCTAAGCTAGGGGAGGGAGAGGTTGGAGTTGGAAAATGAAAGGAGATGGTGATTCAGATCTAAACTATGGCGGGAATGGGGGACGACAAACACGGGATGCCTTCCCTCCACGTCCACGGCTGGTGAGGGGTGGGCGAAAAACCGCGGGCGAAAATTTCTGAGAGTTCGCGATGTCGCGAACTCGGCAAAAAAATTTTGATTTTTTTTTTTTTTTTGCCGGGCAGCCCCGATATTGCGTATCGCGTATTCCAAGCGTATCAGCGTATTGCGTATATTCGCAAGCGTATATACGCAATACGCAAAGCTTGCTGTGCGTTTTTTCCAACATAGGTCTGCTCATAGACATGTGCATAGCTCCACTCATTTACGCATCCATCTCCCCCCTGAATCACGCCCTCAGGACTACATCTACCGGGAGGAGCTGGCAGCGTATGCGGAGAGCGGCGTGCTGTCAGCGCTGCACGTGGCCTTCTCCAGAGACGGGCCCTCCAAGGTCTACGTGCAGCACCTGCTCAAGCAAGAGGTGGGCGCTGGGTGATACGGCGCTGCTGCATGTGCATTCTGCCCTGCCTCCGTGCATCCACTCACAGTTGTCGCCCCGAGCAGCAAGCATGTCACTTTGATCAATTCCTTAGTTTACTCCCCCCTCATGTGTGTGTGTGTGGTTTCATGGCACCAGGCGGCGAGGGTGTGGCAGCTGATAAGGGAGGAGGGCGGCAGTGTGTATGTGTGCGGCGACGCCAAGGCCATGGCCAGGGACGTGCACCATGCGCTTGTGGACATGGCAGTGGCGCAGGTGGGCGCCTGCCACCACCGCATGCACATGCTCTAGCTCTCACATGCACATGCTCTAGCTCTCACATGCACATGCTCTAGCTCTACATGCACATGCTCTAGCTCTCACATGCACATGCTCTAGCTCTCACATGCACATGCTCTAGCTCTCACATGCACATGCTCTAGCTCTCACATGCACATGCTCTAGCCCTCACATGCACATGCTCTAGCTCTCACATGCACATGCTCTAGCTCTCACATGCACGTGCTCTAGCTCTCTCACATGCACATGCCCTAGCTCTCATATGTACATGCCCTAGCTCTCTGTGTGTGTCTGCGATTTTGTACTGGGCTACTGTGCCATCCTAAGCACTTGTCCCTCTGTGTGTCTGTCTGTGGTTCGTGCAGGGCAACATGGCAGAGGAAGAGGCAGTATCTTTGCTGGATAGTCTAGTGGAGCAGGGTAGATATCTCAGAGACATTTGGTAAATAGGTTCATGCAAAGTGTATTAGGTATACTAGTTTGTCGTACAAAAAAAAAAAAAAAAGCTCCACATGGCTACTGAAACTGAAACTGGGATTTGGTCTACCCATGATTGCTCTGTTGGGACATGGGTGCACGTCCGGGGTACGTTGCCTTCTATTACTAAGTGTTGTGAGCTGGTGTTGTGGTATATGGGTCGTCATATTGCGAAGGCTTGGTGTTATGAATTAATCAGAGTAATAACAGGTAGTGTAATTAAAGCCCGTGGCTAAAAACACAAAGCAGGGGCTCACTTGAAACTGATATATTTTTCACTGGCAGAAAAAGTTTCCACCTTTTGGCTCTGAACAGAATGTGAGCTCACAAAAGAACTGGGGCGACAAGGAACGAGGACAGTCATTAGCGCGCGGCGATGCCACTGTGTCGACGACAACCAAACGAGTCCGCACGACAACACCGCCCTCGTCGCTGAGCCTAGCCCAACGACCACGTTGGCGACCAGCCTCCCCCCTGGCATTTTCAAGTGGACCCCCACTTTGCATTTGGTGTGGTGTACACACAAGGCGTTTTCTAGAACGTAAGCAGTTTAGCAGGTAGAGTAACGCAAAAGTAGCGCCAGTCACGCATTTCGTCCGCGATCCCGTTTAGGAATACGGGTTAAACGCGCGGCACAACGTCCTCGTCGAACAAGCTTCCGACACAAGGGCCGCGACGAGCAGTATACAGCAGAAAAACAGCACAAACTCGCTCAAATCGGTCACGCTGCCCTCCCCATCCCTCCCGTCGCGTTATGCCTCCCTCCCCTTCCTCCCGCCGCGTTACGCCTCCCTCCCCTCCCTCCCGTCGCGTTACGCCTCCCTCCCCTCCCTCTCGTCGCGTTTCGCCTTCCTCCCCTCCCTCCCGAGCGTAGTGCACCCCGCTACAGTATATCCCTTCCTTCCTTTCTTCCCTGCCCCCCTACTTCAAGCACCCTCCTTTCTCCCCTTCCGAGAGATGGCAGAGAGGGGGGAAGGGAGGAGATATATGGCAGAGAGGGGGGAAGGGACGGGGAGAGATATGGCAGAGAGGGGGGAGGGGATGGGGAGATATATGGCAGAGAGGGGGGAAGGGACGGGGAGATATATGGCAGAGAGGGGGGAAGGGACGGAGAGAGAGATGGCAGAGAGGGGGGAAGGGACGGGGAGAGATATGGCAGAGAGGGGGGAAGGGACGGGGAGATATATGGCAGAGAGGGGGGAAGGGACGGGGAGATATATGGCAGAGAGGGGGGAAGGGACGGGGAGAGAGATGGCAGAGAGGGGGGAAGGGACGGGGAGAGAGATGGCAGAGAGGGGGGAAGGGACGGGGAGATATACGGCAGAGAGGGGGGAAGGGACGGGGAGATATATGGCAGAGAGGGGGGAAGGGACGGGGAGATATATGGCAGAGAGGGGGGAAATGGATGGGCCTGGGGAAGGGGATGGGTAGGGGGGCGCTTTTGCAGCAGGGGAATGGGGATGCAGATGGACGGGGGGATAGGTATGGGGAGGGAGTGGGAAGAGGGGGATATGGGGGGAGGGCTGGGGAGAGTTAAGGTGGAGAGTGAGGTCGGGCTGGGGTAAGTGTTGGGTTGAGAGTTGTTAGGGAGGCCGGGCAGTTCGCCCCTGCCTCCCTATATCCCCTGCCTCCGTTTCTCAATCGCCTCCCTATCTACCCTGCTTTACCATCTCCCCGTCCTCCCCATCTTCCCTGCCTCCCCATCTCCCCTGCCTCCCCATCTCCCCTGCCTCCCCATCTCCCCTTCCTCCCCATCTCCCCTTCCTCCCCATCTCCCCTTCCTCCCCATCTCCCCTTCCTCCCCATCTCCCCTGCCTCCCCATCTCCCCTGCCTCCCCATCTCCCCTGCCTCCCCATCTCCCTTGCCTCCCCATCTCCCCTTCCTCCCCATCTCCCCTTCCTCGTCATCTACCCTTCCTCCCCATCTACCCTTCCTCCCCATCTACCCTTCCTCCCCATCTACCCTTCCTCCCCATCTACCCTTCCTACCCATCTACCCTGCCCCCCCCATCTCCCCTGCCTCACCATCTACCCTTCCTCCCCATCTCCTCGGCCTCCCCATCTCCCATTCCTCACTTTTGGGTTTTTTTCCATTCCCATTCTGTGAGTGCAGGCCTTCTAACTCCCTTCTTCAAGTGCAGCACATTACATGCCTGCAGTCCCCTCTGTCCCTCCGTAGGGTACAAAGTTTGGAGCGGACGTTAGGTCTCTATTGCATGGATTCCTGGGGCAGTTCGCAGAGTTGCCTAAATCCAGAAGCCTAACTCGGCTTCGTTAGTTAGTTTGTTTGTTATGTTTAGGAAAAAACGCAATGTTAGTTTAGTTAAAACTATTCGTGATATGCACTTTTGGTTTATCTGTTTGTTCGCATTCTCATCTGATTTGTTTAGGGGCAATATCAATCAGGTCTTGTTACAGCTGTTACCTTTTTTAGGGAGTCGCGTATGGAAGGTGTATTTCGAGGCTGCAATCCGGACTCGATTCAGTACTTTCGTTTCTAGGTAAGGCGCAGTTCGGGGTGCAACATCGAGTGATCATCTGGCCAATTTCCAGGAAGAGAACAAGCCCCGAGCTCAATTGTGCTCCCTGCGATTCGCGTCGCCTGTGGATTCGCAAATGGGTCGCTGATCATTGTCGCAATCGCTTTCACTCGCTTTTCATGCGCTTTCGGCCGTTTCACTCTTTCACGATGCCCATAAATTGCACTTCCGCTCTTTTTATGTGTTTCAAAACACTACAGGAGTGCCCAACTTCAAGGGGGGCTCTCTTGAATTCCCCCTTGGTAATTTTAGACTGGGGCTTTAAGGAGTCGATACAAATGAGGGCCTAGGCATTTATAGGCACGAACAGGGCTAGCCGAGAACCACGCGAACAGGTTGGGGCGGTTTGGTTGGCAAAAGCTATGGAAGCGCCACGCGTCGAAATTTGGGTTCGCTAAGTGATTCGGGACCGAAGAAGTTGGCCGAGCTGTTAGAATTTCGAGAGAAAATTGGACTAAGGGAGGAAGGCTGAGGGTTACAAAGGTGGGAATGTTGTTAAAATTATATAAGTTATATATAATTGATAGGCTTGGTAGTTGTTACTGAACTGTATTGTAGAGGGTACAATCCTCTCCTTGTACCCCTCTCTCTTCCTAATCGACCCTTTTTCTCTCGACACTTTCCTCCCCTAACTAAACCTCTGGCTGCCATTTCATGGCGGCCTTTCTTCCTAGTTAAGCTAGCTTTCAAACAAATGTACCCTCTAAGAACTGACCTGACTAAGGCTATAACAAATATACTGTACCTAGCATGGACAATTATATTTGTTGACACGAGCCTGGACTTCCAAGAGTCGAGGGCGTATGCGCTGTAGTCGAGCCCAGTAAGGAAAAGGGAATTTCCTTACATTACCCCCTCTTCCGAGACGACACTACCCACATCCGGGACACGTCTGTCAAGCTTATATGCATGTAAGGAAATTCCCTTTTCCTTACTGGGCTCGACTACAGGCGCATAGCCCTAGCTCTCGCCCGCTCGCCCCTTAGCGCGCTGCGCGGCTCCTAGCCCGCCGCTGACCCGCCCGTCGCTAGCCGCCGTTGCTAGCCGCCCGCCGGTGGCCGCCCTCGTTAGCCGGCCCCTCGCTCGCTGGTCCTTAGCTCGCCGGCCCTTCGCTAGCCGGCCCCAGTTCACACCGGCCCCAGTTTGCGCCGGCCCCGTGCTTGTCGGCCCCGCGCTCCTTGGCCTCGCGCTTGCTGGCCCCTCACTCGCCTGCCCCGTGCTCGCCGTCCCCGTGCTTGCTTGCCCCTCGCTCGCCGGCCCCTCGCTAGCCGGCCCCTTGCTCGCCGGCCCCTAGCTCGCCGGCCCCTCACTCGCCGGCCCCTAGCTTGCTCGCTCGCCCTAGCTCGCCGGCCCTAGCTCGCTGGCCCCAGCTCGCCGGCCCCAGTACGAGCCGGCCCCCCTTAGAGCCGGCTCTTGTTCGGGCCGGCCCTAGTTCAAGCCGGCCCTCGTTCGAGCCGGCCCTGGTCCCGCCGGCCCCTATTCCTGTCGCTGTGCCGCCGTGTCACCGAGCAGCCGTGTTGCCATACCACCATGCCGCTGTGTCCCCGTGCCGCCGAGTCGCCATGCCGCCATGCTGCTGGGTTTAGCCCTGCAACTCGGGTTTCGCCACCTGTCTCCTCCTCGTCGCCGCAGCAGCAGCCGCCGTCGCCCCCGCAGCAGCCGCCGTTGTCGTCGCCACAGCAACAGCCGTTTTCGCTGCCGCAGCAGCAGCTGCCACCGCAAGAGTCCGGAGCTCTGGAGGTGTGAGCACCGGGGAGGGTGCTGGTGCTTCAGGTGCTGGTTCTGGGGGTGCTAGTCCTGGGGGTAGTGTCCTGGCTTGTCCGGGCGGTCCTGGGGTTGGCACCTTTGTTGGAGAGGGTTCTTCTTCAGGGAGTGCTGGTTCTGGGGGTGCTAGTCCTAGGGGTAGTGTCGTGGCTTGTCCCGGCGGTCCTCGAGGTGGCACGTGTGCTGGAGAGGGTTGTCGTTCTCGGGGTGCTGTTGTGGAGCGTCCCGGAGGTCGCCCTGGTGCGAACAGAGGCTCTGGTGTTGGCGTGGAGTAGCAGTAGCAATCGCCGCCGGTGTCTGCCCTTCGCCTCCTCGGCCTTCCCTCCCCCGACCACCTGCTTGTGCCTCCCCTGCCGCCCTATCTACGGCCCTGTGTTTCCTCCGCCGGACTCGTCTCCGGCTCGTTTCCCCCCTCGTTCCCCTCCTGTATCCCCCCTTGTATCTCCTGACACGACGCCTCCATCCCACTTCTGGTCTCACCGTCCCTCTCGTGCTCCTCCTGTCTCCCCGGTTCAGCGTTCTCACCCTATGTTGCTCCGTTCTCGCGTGTCTCGTGCTCCCCTTATCTCGTCGCCTCCTCATTCGTCGCTTGGAGTCTCCCTGCCCCCTCTCTCTGACTTTCTTTGTGCGGCTTGTCCTCTTGTTCCTCGGGTCTTTGCCTCTCTTGTTCTTGTCCCGGTTGTTCCTGTCTTGAGTCTTGAAACTCTTGTCGTCGTCGTTACCGACATTGCCTCTATCCGCCGACTTGACTACGCTACTGCTTTGGTCTCTGACCATGTCCATCCTCCGTCCATCAGGGGTGCACCTGCCCTTGGCAGTGATGTCCTAGAGGACAGGCAGTTTAAGATAGCTTTCCTGTTTGAGGCCGCTCCCCATCTCTGCTCCAG